TTGCATAGCAATTAAATGGCCCCTTATTCAGTAAAAAAATTACAACTGTTGGTATTAGCGATTTAAAGATATTAGTAAACTTACGCGCTGGCGTGACGTTACAAAAAACAGAAGTGGATTTTGACTTCGATTACAAAATTGCAAAACTCTGCGAATTGGGCAAGACNTCAAAATTTTAAAAAGGTTTTTCTAAATTTGCATAGCAATTAAATGGCCCCTTATTCAGTAAAAAAATTACAACTGTTGGTATTAGCGATTTAAAGATATTAGTAAACTTACGCGCTGGCGTGACGTTACAAAAAACAGAAGTGGATTTTGACTTCGATTACAAAATTGCAAAACTCTGCGAATTGGGCAAGACTATTTGTATAAAAGTTTTTGTAGTAATATTGGAAATGTTTAAGGTTAATTTTCCAAGTTTTTTTGTAAAAATATTTTCAGCTTTATGTTTAATCGGCAGAATTATGTGACATGACGTTCCTTGGCGTTACGTTACTAAAATTTCCATTGAAAAAGTTTTGTTAATATTGTTCTTGAAAGAATTTTTAACGCGAAGAGAACATACATTTTATGTCGAACGTACTTTTTATTTTGACATCAGTGCCACCAGTAGTTTCATTTTTTGCAGTGCAGTCTTTTCGTATGTGTAGACATGAGCAGCCTAAGTGCTATAAATTTGTCGATTATATTGTCTTATACAAGCAGATTCTGCAATTCACTTCCAAATGAGTTACAATCATCTTCACTTTAAATTCAAAGTGACTTTGGTAGAAATTCACTTGGAAATGAATTGCTGAAGCTGCCTGATTATGTTTTTGTAGATGAATATTCTATCTCATGGCCCCACTTATGTATACATTATGAATGCTCTCTCTTTTTCTCACAACTCACTCATATAAACATATTCTTATTAACCATAAGTTAATTTAAGCACAAATTTGTTAAGAAAAGTTTATGTTTTTGTGAAATCCACACATATGAATGTACATAAGTGCATAATATACTTAGTGAAATAAATTTATTACAATTTTGTGTATGCTTTTATAAATTAAATGCTTGGAGTAATTTTTTATTGCAAGAAGGTTAGCTACAAAGTGTTGTGTTGCACGGTACTTGGTTTTTTGCTTCAGTTTCAGAGCCACACTATGTACNCTTTGTAGCTAGTGTTGTGTTGCACGGTACTTGGTTTTTTGCTTCAGTTTCAGAGCCACACTATGTACTTTGTTTGCTGAACAGCGTATCTCACAAAGTGCTTGGCTCATGAGTGAGTCGAGTGTGGACAGACATTTCACACTTACTATGACGAAGACCTCATCTGCATAGGCAGAAATTCAGCGAGTTTTGACTACTTTTCTTTTGCTTGTGTTTGGCCGAGCTTCTCCTTCAATTTGAGGCGTGCGTCTTGACGTTGTTACACGAATGGAGAAGTTTTACACCGCCAAGCGGATGTTATGAGAAGCTTTTTCAAGGCAGAAATACATTCGCAAGTTTGCCATTGCTTGCCGAAGGGCGACCGCTGTTTAGGAAACAGTTTTTATATACCTTTTTTTGAATATTGCTTTGACCAGCGACTAAACCTTGGTTCTATCGAGTGGTAGTACGCACCCCTAACCACTTGGCTACAGCGGCCAATTAATTTTAATTATTTTTTTTTATAAAAGGAGTAGTAATACCTGGTTTTAGTCACGTATTATTTAAATTTTTTCCTTCTTATAAGATTTTACCTTCCACTAGTTCAGCCCGCAATCCGCCTGCGGTTACTTCTTTTATTTAATTATGATACCTTCTTGCACAGCTAAAAAGACATACTAGTTTTTAAAATAATTTGCAGTTTTTAAAATAATTAATAGAATAGAATAGAATGATGTGAAGTAGAAAATAGTGAAAAATCGTAAATTCAAAACTTTATCAAGCAGCAATTTTTAACGGCCAGGGCTTGGTTCAGGTTTTGTTGATCATTTTTATTATCTAATTGAAATGTCATAAAACCAAAATAATCAGAAATTACCTAAATAATAATCTCCTTAAGAATATCTAAGACGACTTTCCCGCTAACCCTGTATACATATGTATATTAAGGCAGCTCTTTATCTAACAAAAACCACATAAAATCAACAAATTTTCACCAAAATTTTATTTTTTTTTTATCCAGAATTCAAAAAAATGTGGTTTTAGAAATTTGATTGCAGATTCTAGTAGAATACGATTTAACCCCTCCTAGTTTGTAAGCTTACTTTGAGACGATTTAAGGTTAACCAAAAATTTCGTCCCTGGCGAAGCCTTGGAAGCGTAAAAATAAATTGATGAACAGTAAAGTTACAGTGACTTGAAAATTCCTTTTCAACCAAAGTAAATGTTGAAATTTGATAGATAACTCATACGTTAGGCTGGCCTCTTAAAGAAATTTTCAAAGNTAGAATTCAAAAAAATGTGGTTTTAGAAATTTGATTGCAGATTCTAGTAGAATACGATTTAACCCCTCCTAGTTTGCAAGCTTACTTTGAGACGATGTAAGGTTAACCAATAATTTCGTCCCTGGCGAAGCCTTGGAAGCGTAAAAGTAAATTGATGAACAGTAAAGTTACAGTGACTTGAAAATTCCCTTTCAACCAAAGTAAATGTTGAAATTGATAGATAACTCATACGTTAGGCTGGCCTCTTAAAGAAATTTTCAAAGTGAAAATTTCGGTATGAAAAATGTCGACGTTTTGTTCATATGTCATGCCTTTGAATTAACATGTTTGACCCTTTTAAAATAACAATAGGTACACATTTTTTTAGTTTTTTTCTATTAATTTGTTCCATTTTACAATTTTTTAAGAATGATATGTAATTTTAAAATATTTTTAAAATGAAATATGTATACGTAGTTAAATGATTTTTACATGCAGATGAAAATAGTTTTTTTTATTTTTTTTATTCTAAACAATTTTTGAATTTATTTCAAAAGAAAGTATTTTAATATAGTACATACATATTGTNAAAAATAACAATAGGTACACATTTTTTTTAGTTTTTTTCTATTAATTTGTTCCATTTTACAATTTTTTAAGAATGATATGTAATTTTAAAATATTTTTAAAATTAAATATGTATACGTAGTTAAATGATTTTTACATGCAGATGAAAATAGTTTTGTTAATTTTTTTTATTCTAAACAATTTTTGAATTTATTTCAAAAGAAAGTATTTTAATATAGTACATACATATTGTACTTAAGTATTTTATGGAAATTTTTGAGGGAGTTGGGGAAAGAGTATAACATAACGAAGAATATAAAGTAGCACGAATACTTATATGTTTTAAATTGTTCAAGGAAAAGATAAGTCAGTGTTTTTTACTTTTTACCCCATAAAGTAGTTTAACTTGGTAGAATTACAAAAAAAAAAACATATAAAGAATAAATGCAAGCAAAGCACAAACGTAAATAAATACAGGACATTTAAAATGTAGATTTAGTATTTATATATGCAAACAGCTACAGTAACTAAAAAGTTAATTAATTTAATTTTTAAAATTATTTTCGTATTAAGAAATGCTGGCTCCGCCAAATCTTTAGCTCCATTTTAAAGAAATTCAGTGCAAAATAAACTAAGGCACGATAAAAAAAAACAAACAAACGAAAAATTTCAAATTTAAAGGATATAATACTTAAATAGTAATAATAAAACTAAATTTTCAAAAATTCACTCAAGTCTGTAAGTAAACAATAAATGCTCTATGTGTCTCTTAAAGTACGCGCTACAGATCGGAACTCTCGTTCTGTGTTGGCAAGCCGACGGCCCCTAAATCAGCGCAACTGAGCGCATACTCCTCGTAGGCATTAGCACTAGAGCGCGCGCCTGCTCCAATAACTCCCACAACACCTCCGCTGCCATTGAACGATTCACTGCTGGTGCGCGCCAACAGCTCAGCCTGTATACGTTTGAGCACCTCGACCACCTCGGCTGGCACGCCACTTTGCATGGCCTTCTGCATGGATTCATTGGCATCGATGAGTGCTTCATGAAAATCACCACACTCCATGCGCGATTTGCAGCGCGCGTAGTAGCCCTCATAGCTGCTGGGTTTCTGCGCAATGGCCTGCGTGGCTAAATCGATAGATTCGTCAAGTTCCTGTATGAAGCAGAGGGAAAATAAAAATGATTATCTTCATACTTTTGCTTAACATTTCTGCTTTTACTCACATTTAACTTTCGCTTGCAGCGCGACAGATTTAGCAACAGATTAGTGCGCAGCTGTGCAAATATTGCGCTACGCTCTAGCAAATTCTCCAAACATGAGATCTTACGCAGCGCATATTGATAGCGATGCGCTGCATCGTGAAAGCGATTCTTGCGGTAGAGAACATTGCCATCCTCTAGTAGTTTATTTAGCAGCACCACCAAAATCTCCGGCTTACCCATCGCCATACTCCATGTGGTGGGTCCAAGTTTGGCGCCGCGTCGTAGAAATACTTGTACCACTTGTATGTTGCGGCATGCGATCGAACGATCTAGCGGTCGCATGCCATTCACATCGATGTGTTCTATATTCGCGCCCTGCTCGAGCAGATAGAGCACCAGCGCTGCTGATCCCTGATATGCTGCCAGATCTAGTGGCGTGCGGCCGTTGTTGTCAGCGTGATTCCGGTTGCAGCCACGTTCGATCAGACACTTGGCTGCGGGTTGACGCCCACGCAGGCAAGCCCAGGAGAGCGCGGTGAAGCCCTCCTCATCTTGCGCCTCAAGAGAAGCGCCGCGATCTATTAGCAGTTCTAGCAGCTCAATGTGTCCCTCTTCTGCGGCAATCATGAGCGGTGTTTTGCGTGCCGTCGTCACTGGTTCATCGATGTCGGCACCGTTTTGTATCAGCTTTTCGACGACTGCCCAGTGACCCTCTTTCACTGCCAGCCAGAGCGCAGTGTAGTCTTGCTTGTTGCGTGCGTCAATGCGCGCGCCTTTCGATAGCAAAATTGCCACAGCGTCGCTGCAGCCATTACGGGCTGCTGCTGTTAGTGGTAGATCGCCACACGCTTCATCCATGAGATTCACATCGATGCCGTCAAGTTCGAGGAGATCCTCAACAATTGTTATATGATCCTGTGCTGCCGCAGCAATGAGGGATTGCTGCAGCGCTACTGCCAAGCTTACATCGTGCGAGTTGGGACGCGGCGTCCAATCACAGGCCAATAAATATTTANGTTATATGATCCTGTGCTGCCGCAGCAATGAGGGATTGCTGCAGCGCTACGGCCAAGCTTACATCGTGCGAGTTGGGACGCGGCGTCCAATCACAGGCCAATAAATATTTGACCACGTTCAAACGCCCTGTGCGCGCTGCATGCACTAGCGCGCAGCGTTGCGTTGTATCGGTCTGGCCCAAACTGCTGCCGGCGGCGACAAGCAAGCGCACGACGTCTGCGTGTCCGCGTATGGCGGCCAGTATGAGCGGCGTGCAGCCTTGGCTGTTTGTGAGACTAACATCGGCGCCAAATTCTAGCAGCAAGCTCACCATGGGCACTATGCCTTCGTGCGCTGCTATGCAGAGTATTGTTGCATCGCCCATGAACTCAGTGCGGTAGTGTGGTGAAGCGCCGGCGAGCAGTATTAGGCGGGATACCTTCAAGTTTGGGCTATAGACGTTGCGTAGCGAGCCGAGCGCAGCGGAAATGTTGTCGGTGACCGAAGCGACCCAGAAGGACTGCATATCGCGTGGCAGTTGTGGGCCCTGACAGTTGCGATAGATGTGCGCCTTCAGCATGTGATGGCCCAGTTCCATCGTCTGCTCGGGATCGAGTGGCGCCTGCATGCGCGACAACCGAAATGCAAGGGCTGCATGTCCGAGTCGAAAATCACAGAGGAATTTCGAGGATTCACCCTCGTCGCGCCTGATTAACCACTCGCGAAAGTAGGAGTGGAAGAACATGTAAGTGTTATCAATGCGGCGTATGAGAAAGCCATCCAGCAGTTTAAAGCGCTGCAAAAACTCATCCCAACTCAGCACCTCGTCTGTTTTCATGGCGCTAATGGTGTAGTAGATCTCGTTCAAAGTGAGCGGATAGAGCGCAGCCAGACACACGTTGAGTATGGGTGCGGCCTTTTCAAAGCTGCTGTTGGTGGGGAAACGCAAGTTAAAATGCAAGAGGAAGATCTGCGCCAAGCTCACGGGCAGGACTTTGTAGCTGGTCGACTTGATCACTAATTGGCCGCGCTCAATGAGATCGAGAATGAGCTTGGCGTACAGCATCGAGCCCTTCGTCAGCGCCTGCAGGTGCCCTATGAATTTGAGCTGTCCGCTGCTGTGATCTTTTATAGCACCAATATTGCTCTGTATTTCCACGCTGTGGTTCACACGGAATGTGATGTAGTCTAGCATATCTTTCTGCAGCAGATCGTTCNAGCTGTCCGCTGCTGTGATCTTTTATAGCACCAATATTGCTCTGTATTTCTACGCTGTGGTTCACACGGAATGTGATGTAGTCTAGCATATCTTTCTGCAGCAGATCATTGGAGGCCCAGCTGTCTAGCGTCATTTTTGTGTACGACAAACCTTTGACGAATTCCAACATCTGCGTGCGCACCGTGGCAACGACCTTCAACCACGACGGAAAGTGTTGCGTCATCTTGGCAAGAAAAGTAGCGATTGTGTTTCCATGATCGGGGCGATGGTACTCCGCCTCACACAGCGCATCGACGAGTATAACGCATGTCTTTGTTGGTATCTTTCCAGCGCGTTTTAGCACAATTAACGGCTCTAAAATGGCCATGCGCATCACGCGCTCAGCATCGGCAATGCACTCCTTCACACTTAATATATCCTGCAGATGCGGCTCGCTGAGAAGATACTCGCGATATGCCTCCAGCTGTGGAGCTTGACATAGCTGTGCAGCTAGCGAGTGTACAAAGTCCGGCACCAAGCAAGTCAGATTCGAATCGGCCTGACAGAAGTGATAGCCGACAATGTGCGAAGCCAAAGCCCGTATGCGATCGTGGCCGATATTGATGGGACAATATATGCCATCTGGATCGCTGTCTTCTTTACTGTTCTTGCGGCGTCCAAAACACGAATACTCCACCAACTGCAAAATTAGCGCCGTTTTTCCCGTACCTGGATTGCCATTGATCAGCACACCTGGCGTCTCGGTGCCGGTGAGTATGTTGGAGAGTTCGCGCAGAAGCCACTGACGTCCAATAAATGGTGGATCTGGTTCGGGTAATGGTACCTCAAAGAAGAGCGGCTTCAAAGCAAGTTGCACTGGTGGAACAGTGGCCGCTGGCTTGTAAATGGCATTACGCTTACCCGCGCCACTGCCTACTTGACCGGTGCGTGCCGAACGTCGTATGCCCGATTTGCGCGCCTTCACAGGAAATACATCACTGTTATCTGTGGATACGGACAACGCATTCAACTTGCCAGCCAAGCTGAGTGTGTCATCCTTGGTGATCACGGAGAGTTGAGAGCCAAATGCGTTGGCGCAACCATTCGATAGCGTCTGTTCGGGGCTGATGTTCTGTGAGGAGCTGCTGCTGGTCGTGGTGTTCGTATTTCCATTCTGATCGCTGTCCAGCAGCAGACCGAGCCGGGCGCGCAGTTGATCCTTTTGCTTCTCGGCAGGAGTTAGCACGTGATCGTCATCGCCTGCAGTGGAGAGAAGAGAGAGAGAAAGTTATGTAGTTATTTAGAGCGGGCAAAGGTGTTCTACGCAATCGGCATGCAAGGGGTGCATCGAACGTGGAAAGTAGAAAATAGTAAATACTAAAAACATGATTATGAAATGAGAACATGCATGCCTAAGCTCTGAGAACAGCTTATTTCACTTAGAAACATGCAAAGGAAATCAACAAACACGTGAAACAACAGCAACAAAAATAACAAAAACAATGAAATATGCGTGGAAAATGGCCGTGCCTGCAAATTGATTAAGTCCCGCATCCGAAGAGTTCGAGTTTACGCTCCACAACGATTTGATTTTACCAAAGACCAACGATGAAAGATGTCCAGCGTAGACTGAGGTGCCAGCAAGACTTAAGCGATTCAGTCTATTCTCACTGCCCGCGGCTGTTGGTCTGGTAGAAGCGGCGCTCACATTGTTGCTGACCTTCTGGCGACGGCGACGTGTGACCGCCGAATCGGAACAGGTCGACGTANTGAAAGATGTCCAGCGTAGACTGAGGTGCCAGCAAGACTTAAGCGATTCAGTCTATTCTCACTGCCCGCAGCTGTTGGTCTGGTAGAAGCGGCGCTCACATTGTTGCTGACCTTCTGGCGACGGCGACGTGTGACCGCCGAATCGGAACAGGTCGACGTGTTAAGGACGTTATTATCTTTTGCTGAAAAATTTAGTAATGTTGATGATAGAATGATGAAATGTTTTCGAACATGTTAGCACAAAATAATAGAATTGTTAGTGAAAATGAGAAGTAAGTCACTCACTACGATAAGTGAAAGGATAGTACCGGATACACTCTGAAAGTATAGATCCTGCTAAAAGTGTCAGATTAGTTAAGAATTATAAGCCTGCTTAGTTTACTTAGCCTTCCACAATTAACTAGTTATTTTAGACAGACAATTTTTATTGGGCGTGGGAAATCATTGACACCGTTATGATACTTTTGGGTAGAAAGAAAATTATTGATCCGTATTTAATAATTTTCTTCCTTTTTCACAGCTGAATTTGGTAACCTTCTCCAAGATATTTAGCCCACAAGATAGAGTGTTTCCGAAAGTCTGATTTCCTTTTCTTCTGCATTCGCTGCTGCTCAGTTGGTTTTCTGGACATATTCCAAGAGCTTTTGCATTCCCATATATGACCGGAAATAGTTATGGCATATGAGCGAAGATAATAACAAACCCTTACCACTCTTCTTCATCTGGAAGGTTATGCTCCGCGTTAGTAAACGCTGATGCTCCTCAATTAGGTAAGATGTTGAGTCACATACAAGCAATGACTTATAGGGCGGTGGCTAAGGCCTCATTAACTGCGTTAACGATAGCACTAGAGATAGTTCTTGAGCTGGAGCCGCTGCACACCACCATAGAACAGGGAGTCAAGTCACTTAAACTTTGCAAGAAATGGTTATGACAGAGGCAAGGTTCTTCCGTCTATGAAGCTAGGATCCAGCTCCCAATGACGTAATTGTTTTGACAAAAATACAAAACCGAGCTTTGCATATACAAGCTCCAAAACACCAGAAGGTGTTGCGGCAGGCATTTATGAACCCTGGGGAGGCTATTCGTGCCCATGGGCAAATTCACGAGCAGCTTTCCAGCGGAAGTATACAGCATCAGTCGGTGTGCAAAGACTACCGTAATGAGAGCCGTTATGTCTATATCATCGACGCCGCTTCTTTCTATCTCTTTAAGCAAGCTATCAGCGTCAATATTTCAAAGTAGACATAGGAGCACAACCCATTAGGGAGTCCCCCTTACAAGCTACTTTTTGAGAGAGAAGTCTCCTAGTTCTGAGTTTGTGACTCCACTCGGAGAAGATTGTTAACAAGTCCAAGTTAGTGCAGCGGTGCGATGACCGTATCCGGACTAGTATTGTTGCAAAACACCTTTAATGTCCAAGAAGACAGGTAAAAAATATTCTTTGTGATGCAAAGATTTTTCGATGTCAAAGGCCGTGCAGAGTCGTATCCATATTCTTTCCTTTGTTATATGCATGTTGGAAAGTCGAAAGCTTCGGAGCAACTATTTCCCTGATTAGGGTGCCAAATATGCACTGCAGCAACTTCAGGAAGAAGGAATAGAGGCTTAATTGTCTAAACTCATTGAGTTTTGTGTCCGAAGGTTTACCCGCTTTGGGGATAAATACAACTTTCCACTGCGTCCATCTTTGTGGTATATAGGCGGGGCTGATAGCCACGCTGTAAATTGTTTTTAATTTTAGAATAACTAGGTCCATTGTTTCTGAAGGTCGATATATAGGCAATCCAACAAACCCAACAGCTCTCGTCGGAAACAGTCCTAAGTGGGAATTTCCCGTCTTGGACAATGATCTGTGAGTTGTTTGCTACACTGGTGTCGGAACAATCTGAAAAATTCCGCTGCATTAGGAGCTCAAGCATTTATCGATTTATGGAATTCACCTAACGTGGGGTCTTAGGATTTATTAGGGAAGACAAATGCATCTTGGGTTAGCGACTCACCTTACTCATATGAAATATCTTTCAGGACGTAGAGTTCGCTTTACCCAGATGTTTAACTAATTAAGCTGCTTGGTTCCATGTTCTTCATCTTATTGCGAGATATCGCCTTTTGGAGTAGCTGCTACCTAATTAAGCTTGAGAAACAATGCACCACAAACTTGATCTGAGTACAAGATATTCTCTTGAAACACTACGTACTATTTCTGCTGTAGGTACTTGAGGTCACTGGCGATTAGTCATATAAAAGTTGTAGAAAATGGTCGCTCATCCTTTGCCTTTACAAAGTTCTTCTCAGGCTTTGGCTCTTGTCTTTTAGGAAAACTTTTGATAATCGAGCCTTAATACGAAAAAGTGGCAATAAAACAATTTAAGATTATAAGTCAGCACTTAAATTTTAACCATACATAAATATCAGTATATTACTAAGCCTACTTCACTACTTTCGAATCTGTGTCCATCTCAAAACCCATAAATATTTTCTAATATTTACAATCACTTTTTTTACACTACCATTAGGCGGTCACTTCAGCGATGACACTACTAAATTTTTTGTTATCCATTAGCCATTGACCCCGACCTTCCAGCTGCACGTGCAGTCAACAAGCCCGTCACATGGACTACCACCTCGATGCTCGTACTCGCACAAGTAAATACTTGTAAGTACGTAAACGAGCGTGTTGTACTTTCACAGCCACAAATCAAAGGAGCGACCGACAAAGGCAATGACAGTTGGGCTAAGCCAGTCGAACGGCTGGTTGGCTAACTAACTGCCTTTCGCCACCATTTGCTGCCAATTGCACAGACGACGGCTGGACGGCTGCTTAGAAGCTAGCAAACGAACCAAAAAGAAAAATATATATATATCCATACCCATTTAAATGTTCACCTCCAACACCTCAACTCAAACTGCACAACTAAATACCCAACACCCCGCAAAGCAATGGTCAAAACGAAAATCCATCAAAATTTGGCAAATATGCAAAAGTGCTGGGATGAAGTGCTTAGGGGTTAGTTGCTAAGTTGACTCGAATGCTTGTTGAGCACATCGACTTACCATCGACGAGTATCGCTGCGGCGGCATCTGTTGGCACACCACAACCGCCGCCAACACCACCACTCGATGCGGTGCGACGGTGTCCGGTCAAAGCGCTGCGCAAATTCTTGTGATTAAAGAAACGTCGTCGTGTCGGTGGTGTGGCAAATGAAGATGCATTGATTGCATCGCCGGCGTAGTGTGGCTGTTGAGACTGGTGTGTTGTGTGGTTGTTGTTGTTGTTGTTGCTGTAATGTTGGTTATTGCTAATATTATTGTGACCGTTGTTATTGCTGCTGCTCGCCGTGCTGCTGACGGTATTGCTATTGCTGCTGCTGCTGCTAATGGTGTTGTTGTTGCTGATAATATTGTTTTTGTTGTTGCTGCTGTTATTGCTGGTGTGGTGTATGTCCGCCGTAACGGTATATGTTGCTTGCGCTGCTGCTGCCGCCACCGCTTTTGGCAACTTACCAATGCTTGCATAGCGATGATATTCCGGGGATATGGACTCCTGCCGGTTATGCTGCAATAAAAAAATAACAAAAATAAAACGAAGATTAGTACCTATATAGAAATATATAGTAGAAGAAAAGTGTAGTCAAATTGCAATTGCATATTCAAACAAAGCGCGTTCCTTACAAAGGAAGCATAATATTTTCTCGAAATGCTAAAATTTTCCAACAAAAAAAAAGACGAAATTCTCATCAAATTTGCTTGCAGCTTGTTGCGCACTTCAAGCTCGTACATATGTGTTCAAAAAACAGCACGCGCCGACCGTTGCATAGAAAAGCGTTTGCCGCATGGCGGTTATCGGTGATGAAAGTTTAAGTATCATACTCAAAGCGAAGATGAATTATGCGAAGCCAGTGGATGTGTGCAATTGTTGAAGCATTTGGCTGCACCTTAGAACTACAGTGCGGATTTTGATTTATTTATTGGAGGGGTGAGGGTTGCGCTTTACAGAGACGGTGCGTTGTCCCTTCGCCACCACTGTTTCACTTCTACATTTCGATGCTCACTCAGCCACCAACGGAAGTTTCACTGAACTACTACGAAGGCGATTGTTCGATATTGCTGCCAGCGTATGAGAGTAAATGGCTATCTCTCCGAAATTTGTGGATTCTCTACTGCGCGAAGCCTTACCTTAGCGGCTATGGTTAGTAGCTCCCTCTCTTTCTCCGCATACAGCAGCGCTGGAGGTAAAGCTGAAACCTATTGAGTCTTTCAGTAAAACAAGCTGCAAAGCGGACTCGCCTTAATTTTTGCGAGAGAGGGATATGGTAAAGGTAAAGTTTTCTCATCCAGGAACAGGGACAAGATAGGCTCCTAGCTCCTTCTATTCCTGCTCCCCAGTGAAGACTTGTATAGTGGAGTATTCAGTTTTTAAAAGAAACTTTACTTCTTGCATGGAGAGACACATCCAGGCGAGCGCACTAAAGTGACAAACAGATGGCTCTAAAATTCCTGGGGGGATTGTAGTCGGCTTTTACGGTCCCATACTGACGCCTCGGTACACCTGGTAACCTTCCTAAGCATTTTTCAAACAGAAGTATATGTCATCAGTCTGTGTCCCTTCGAAGGAAGTATCGAAATGTGGAGATCCTTATTTTAGGCGACAGCCATGTGGCACAAAAGGCTCTCCCATCCTTCGATATCAAATCCTCAGAACAATACCATCCAATTGCAATGGGCATCAGGGCTCACCGGAGTCGTAGGAAATGAGGTGACGGATCAGCCCCAGACTGGCTGCTGGCTCGACCCCGATAGGGACGGAGCTCTTTCTTTCAATAGGTCTCAGCACGATAAAGCAAGCGCTCAGAAAGTAAAACACTAAACTAAGGAAACTGCATTGGCGTAATACCATGGGACTTTGCAATTCAACAGCTTCATAGGAGGGTACAATTGGAAAAGATACAGGATAAGGAGAAACCAAGAATGCTTACAGGTTTTGTGAGCCAGGCCATTGTAGGTTAAGAAGTCATCTGTACAATTTAGGAATCTGGTCAAGCGACTTATGTCGCCTCCTTGATGCTGCCAAGCAGATCCCATTACCCCTTCTTCTGCAGTGTATGGCTGTTTCACACAGAAGGAAGAGGGCATCTCTGATCAGGAGAGGAGCACATTCACTCCCTGCTCCCGGGATCTATTCTAAAATTTATAGAGTCCATAGACCGCATAGACAGCGCCGAGAGGGCCTGCTTGGCCCAAACAGATGCGGTTGGTCTTCCGCGGAAGCTGAAGGAAAGTCAAATGGCGTTTTCGTTTCTACAAAAAATGTTGTCTTATCATCGCCCTCGTCTTAGTGTTATTGCAAAGGGAAGGTTGCACTTTTAAGTAGAAACGAAATCGGCATAAGCTTCCTGAGGAAAAGTCATCGCGAGGGAAAACGGTATGAACGGTCTCACCCAACCTAACTTTGCCTCGACTGCTGTGGTTAGAGACGTACGGTGATGAAAGAAATGTGTATGGCCTTACTTGATCGACAACGTTTATACGGTAGTATATGCAAACTACTATGTAAAATCTCCATAAGTTAGACTTTTCTTAACCACTAGTAAAAATACATCGCGCATCCCCTGGAATAGCATAGCAAGCAAGCAAACACAAAAGCTATGTATTTATTATTATCGACAACGGCTTTGGTGGAATCTTAGAATACAGTAACAAATCGCGAAGTCGCGACCGAAACTAATCAAATTAAAAAAATGTCCAACGTACGTACATATGTATGTCGCAGATGACCAAATAACCTATTCATATTAGAGTTAAGAACAACCACACTCACACATCCATACCGATATTATTCTCAACACTCAATGAGAGTAAGTACGCGCATAAACAAAGCAAATGCCCATTCGCAAATATGCAGCCAACCAGCGAGATAAAGGTTCCCTGTGGTTATGGCACATGGCAGAAAGATGTCTGCGGCATCCACAACGGTAATAACAAGTAAACTGCAATTTGGAGAACAGCAAAATGAAGAAAATACTCGTAAGCGGCGGAAGAGTTAACCGGGAAAGAAGCAACAGGCGTCACAGATTGATTAGTCACATCCTCCAGACAGTAAGAAACAACCAAATAAGACAGAAAAATTAAAGGAAAAAGTTAGAATCAGACATAGCGTCATAGAGTGTGTAGGTTTTTGTTGCCAATATGCTTAATACATATCTTTTGCTCTTTCCTTTTCCTGCAAACATTCTAGTATATTCTAAGTGTGTAGTTGTTGTTTTTCTGCGTTTTTCCTGCTGCTAATCATTTTATACTTTAATCAACTTTAGTCGATCAGTCAGTGGGTAGGCCAATGGCACACATGTATGTGCATGCACCAGGAGAGGATGTTGTCGCTGGCGGTGATGTGGTCTCCGTATGGGCTTAGCGGCTGTGGAGAATGTGAGCTAGTTGCCTTTAAAAGCGAAGACATATGTACATTGCCAACTTGAGACGAGCGCGGTAAAGTTAGTTGCTTTTATACTGTTTCTCAAATCTTTGGCTGTGCTGTCATGATTGGCGCTGCTGGGCGGATAGCGCATGCGTTTCCGTTTTTTTTTTTTGCTGCGCTCTCTATGGTTACGTACATTTATAGATATGTACACAAGTTAGCATATGCGCGCTAACTGGGTAACATGTGCCGGTCGTTGTTTTATGCTCCTACGAGTATGAACATATCGCACACCGTCTTCAAAAGAGTCATAACTCAAAGTTACACGTTTGTCAGAAAATGCGAAAAACTATTTCTTAGCACATGATAATCATATGGGAAAACGAAACTTTACCTTAGGTTTCTTTTTAACAAACTATATGAAAAATTTGATCCAGCTTTTGCTAAAAGGTAAATAAAAGCTCTGTGTACATTTTTAGAGCATAATTTCAAAAATGCCAAATTTTTAGTTGTGTCTCTTTTGAAGACGGTGTGCGATATGTGCATAAGATGCTAAGTAAAAAACTCGCACAACAGCGCAGATTTGCGTTGGTTTTGGGTGTCATGCCGCATTGACGCACTCCATTACTGCTTGTATTGTTGTTGTTGTTGATAAGCCAAAATCAATTTCATTCACGAAACACCACGTAGACCGACTGGTCGTCTGATAAAAATTATTAAAAAAAAATTGCTCTTGCCACAAGTAGGCTGGGAACAACGGATGGATTGCCCGGCTGATTGGATTTGACACAAACAAAGAAGCAATAGACAGCACAGTGGATAATGTGACAATAAAATGCGGTCAGAAATGTTACTAAAAGTTTCTTTTATGCGCGAAACCCAGAAGTTTCCGTATGCCTACCTCGGCTTCGAAAAATCTGGAACCCATGAACTTTCGCCTTCTTCTACAAAGTGCGGGACATTCGAATAACAGGTGCCGCAAAGTCTCTGTTTTTACTTCATTTCTGCATCTTCTGCAGAAATCGTTGCTGGGGCCCGTAACCTCTCCGCGTGCCTTTCAATGGCAATATGGCCTGTTAGCAGACACCCGGCTGCAGCTAAGTCCCCTCTGCTCAGCATGAGGAGACCCTTCGACGGGGTTTAGACCCATTTTGCGCAAAACCAAAAAAACTTAACCAAAATCCATCTCTGGATCAAAGAAAAACTTTCCTTACTGTAAGGTCGAAAATTCTTCCGAATGAGTAAAAAATGAGTAATTTTTCTTTGGATTGTATAAAAACGTATACGAAAATATGGAACCGTGGATGCAATCTATCATTTTGAAGAAATGTTGGGCACGAAAAGAGGATAAAACTTCTTTAGTGCTATTTCGTTCCCATTTTTCTTTATTTTGATTGCCGTTTTTCTTCAATTAAGAGAATGTTTTTTTGAGTGTTGTCACTTGCTAGTAGCGGTTTGCTTAAACATTTCCAAGACTACGGAAGTGGAGCGTATGGGCTCTAGCAAGTTCGTCTTCGTTTGCGTTACCCGATATGTTCCGGTGCCCCGGCACCCATACCAAGTGAATAGCAGACTGCTCAGACATCTCGTTTAGAGCTCTGCAACAGATCGCTATGGGTTTTGAATTGCATGTGAATGCGACCTGACTTTTCGAGTAGATGAAGATATTATTAAAATACGCTGTAGCTGTTAGGTAAGCGACTTCCCCTTCATATATGTAGGCATGCTGCGATGCTATTCGTTTGTTTGCAACTGATTCCCTGAGAAGGGATTCAATTAGTCACTCCATTATCTTGACACTTCATACTTTGGTAAAATTACATTTATCATATTGCTCCCAAGAACTAGTTATTTTATCAAATAGAGATTTATTCCGTTACTTTACTTTCCTTTCCTTTCTTTTCTTCTTTTCTTTTCTTTTCTTTTCTTTTCTTTTCTTTTCTTTTCTTTTCTTTTCTTTACTTTACTTTTCTTTTCTATTCTTTTCTTTAACTTCTCTACTATACAACTATTCCTTGTCTTTCTCTTTCCCATATGCTTCTCCAAATTTTTATTCATCACTTTGCCCCACTATACTATACCGCAGCTGCTAGCTACTTGGAGCTTACTGCTTTGCCCACTTGAAGCCTGTCCGTTCGCTGTAT